AAACATATATTTTCTATGCATTGCCACCCTCATCAACTCGAATGGAACATATATCTATTCCAAATTATGCAACATGTTCCATGGTTGCTGGTAGTAAAGCCAACACAATTGTAGTGCTCCTAGCACTTCTGCATACAATCACCAAGAATAATGCTTGCATTATCATAATAGCTAGTAGTATATTGTACATCTATAAAGTATCCTCTCTTTTGCTCAAATTTATCCACATCCCTTCGGCACTTAGGCAATTGAGTCGAGACACAACCATCGTCACTTTCTTAACTAGGGGCATATGTACCATTAAGGTGACAGGTTCAATTTAGGGGAGAACCTACGTATGAGGTATAAAGGTCACCTAAACCCGTTAGTCTTGACAAAAACCGTTAGGTAGAAAGAACTCCGCGCTGCTTACCATCCCTACTTGGGAAACTTCTCTCTGTAGCATCAAATTAGTAGAACGTGCCATCTTCATCAGATACCAAGTTGAGATTGTACTGATAAATAATAGTAGGATCATGGAATGCAGGTAAGAAGAGAAAGCTTTAACTATTCCAAGCCCCACTAGTCCAATAAATCTCGCCCCTTCAATGAACCACCGACTAAAATGCATCTTTAATGGCCTCAAAATTTGAAGTAAAAGCTCCTGAGGCCAGAATACTAATACTCAACCAAGAATTAAAGTCGAACTGTGCCTTGTCGTAAGGTTATGACCAAGCCTCATACTAGGAAAAAGACAATTGTTAGGATGATCAAAGCTTTGCCATGAAGTCTTGTTCCGAGTTTTATCCTGTAATACGAAGTTTTCAGAATCTTGAAGCCTTTTCTCACCCGATATTATCAGCATTTCGAACCATTCCTAATAGCCTCTAAGAGCATTAGAATGATACCTTGAATTTATTGCAGAATCATTGTCAATACAAGTGACAGTCATTTAAGAGTTTACAGACCGATGAACGTCCTAATTTGAGGTCTCTATCTGTTATAACATGCGCAACGGAAGCAAGCATACAATCCAGGCATCAAATACATGTAAACTAGACAATGATATATTTACGGACCGATGAACGTCCTAATTTGAGGTCTCTATCTGTTAGAACATGCGCAGCGGAAGCAAGCATACAATCCAGGCACTAACCTCTTGAAAGCGTTGTAAAGGTTCTCCACACAGCAAGAATCCAGGGCTGCAGTCTTCTGCTATGATCCTGGTAATACCTTGGACGAATATGCTTTGAGTGGGCAAGAACAACACAACTCAAAAAGGTGAGTTATTGGGTGAAAATTGTCTTCCTTAAGTAGACACGTTTTCAGCCAAAATAAGGCTCTCAAAAACTTGTAGGATTCTACTTGCACAAGTAGAATCCTACTCTAACTTTACCGGATGACTTTTCTCCCAAGTCACTTTTTACCCAAGTCAGTCCAGATTTTTACTAGGCATAGCAGGGACCACATAAATAATAAGAGGCTACTAATTATAGTATTAATTCGAAATTTTGCATGAATTAATTCTTACTATAATTAATTGCAGCTTATTCCACTAATAAACTGCAATTGAACTCCTCAATATGAATTTCGAAAATTCACTAACACTTATTTTAACTCCCCATGTTAAGATCCAAAATACCAGTTAATTAAATTAAATCACTGAAAATTTAATTTAATCAACTAATTAAATCCTTTATAATTCCGCTTAAACTATTTCATGTGACGGATACAAAATCCACTGGTCGGGTTTTCACATGAAAACTTATAAGCTTACATGAAAGAAGTATCATCAAACTCAAAACCGAGTCATAGATTCTATCAACTAATTATTATTTCACAAATGTTATTTGTTACTGTCCAATCTATTAGGCATACACTAACTCTGAATAGAGTTGTACCTTTTGATAAATCAAAACAAAAAATAAATTACATTGATCATAACAATTATATCAAGATTAGGAGTATAAGCACATTTTAATGAATTAGAGAAAATAATTTATATATATTCAGTACAAAAATATTTTTTCTCTACTTGGTCCGTTCAATATACACTAAGTATACTAGCACAAGAAGTTGGAGTAAAATCACCCCCATAATCAAGACAAATTATACTATAATTTTGTGCTACAATCATCAAGATATTTTGTTCAATAATATCTTTGATTGTGAACATAGTTTATTAATTATGTGAACTGATAAATTAATCTTCTGTGCATGAGCTAAGACCCCATACACTAAATTGTCTACTACATAACTAAAATGACACACATGTAACAAATGATCTATTTAAAAAGGTACTTTATTGAATTGAATAAATTAAATAAATAATTATTCCATAAAGAATTAAACAAAATACTATGTCTAAACTGCATGGTTAACAGTATATCCCAACAATCTCCCACTTAGACTCATAACCATTCCTTCTACATGCTTGTCAAAAATCTTCTGTGGCAAGGTCTTTGTAAACGGGTCTGCCAAATTGTCCTCTGACGTAATCTTCAACACTCTTGCATCACCTCTCTAAGTTATGTCCAGAATTAAGTGATATTTACGCTCAATATGCTTACTTCTTTTATAGATTCTTGGTTCCTTCGAGTTCGCAACTGCACCACTATTGTCACAATAAAGTACAATCGGTGCTTGAACCGAAGGAACTACATTAAGGTTTTTTAGAAAGTTCCCAAGTCAAACAACCTCTTTAGCTGCCTCAGATGCAGCCACATATTCAGCTTCTATGGTGGAATCATCAACACATGATTGCTTGATGATCCTCCAACTTATGGCTCCACCTCCTAGGGTAAAAACATATCTTGAGGTAGATTTTCTAGAATCTCTATCTGACTGGAAATCTGAATCAGTATAGCCAATGGGTGCAAGATCACCTGAGTGATAAACCAACATATAATCCCTAATCCTTTTCAAGTACTTGATTATATGTTTAACGACAGTCTAGTATTCTCGTCCAGGGTTAGACTGAAATCTACTAACCATGCTAACAACAAAGCAGATATCCGGTCTAGTACATAGCATAGCATACATGAGACTCCCTACAGCAGAAGCATAAGGGACCGCCTTCATCTTTTCTATCTCATCAGTCGTTTTTGGGGACTGATCTTTCGACAGAGAGATTCCATGTCTAAAGGGAGAAAACCTTTCTTGGAATCTTGCATGCTAAACCTAGTGATAGTAGTATCTATATAAAGTGCTTGGGATAAGCCTAATATCCTTCGCTTGCGATCTCGCATAAGCTTGATCCTAAGGATATGTGCCGCATATCTCAAGTCTTTCATATCGAAACGTGAGGACAACCATTCCTTTACTGAATTTAACATGCTCACATTATTTCCTATGAGCAAAATATCATCTACGTACAAAACCAATAATGTAACTTTATCCTCATCCCACTTCTTATAGACACAAGACTCATTTTCACATTGATCAAAATCGAAGGTTTTAATCGATGCGTCAAAACAAGTATTCCATGCTCTAGAAGCTTGTTTCAATCCATAAATGGATTTCTTTAATTTACATAATATGTGCTCATTGCCACTTTTTATGAAACCAACTGGTTGTGCCATATAGATGCACTCATCAAGACTTCCATTAAGAAAAGCCGTCTTGACATCCATTTGCTAAATCTCAAAATCGTAATGAGAAGCAATGGATAAGAGAATCCTAATGGATTTAAGCATGGCTACTGACGAAAAGGTTTCCTCATAATCGATCTCTTCTTTTTTAGTAAACCCTTTTGCAACAAGCCTAACTTTAAAAGTTTGCACTTTTTCATCCACTCCTCTCTTTTTCTTGTAGATCCATCTACAACCAATGGGTTTGACTCCAGTAGGTGATTCTACAAGATCCCAGACTTGATTGGAGTACATGGACTCCATTTCAGATTTCATAGCAGCAACCTATTTATCAGCATCTGTATCCTGTAGTGCTTCATCATAATTAATAGATTCCGTGTTAGGCTATTCAGGGATTATATCATAAGATTCTCCCAAAAGCGCAAAACGAAGAAGTTTTATAATAATTCTCCCACTACGACTAGTCACTACAGGTGCAATATTTTGTTGTTGAATCACAACATCATTTTCCGGAACTGAAGCGTCAATGTTATCCTCCACACCTTGTGGTGCTGGGATATCATCAATGCTTCAGGTTGCTCAACAATCTGAGTTTACTCAACATTATTCTCACAACTTTGGGGTAGTGAGATGTCAGACAATTGCTCTTGTGCATTCTGCTGCCTATTGACATTTCTCCCACTACGATAATACAGTGGTATGTCAATACTGGCTTCCGGGATACGTTCCAGAGATGAGTCATTAGTTATTCCATTACTTAATTCCTGTAAAACTAGTTTACTTCTAGGAATATGGTTTATTAAATAGTCCTCTTCTAAAATTTTGTCATTTGTCGTAACAATTGCCTTCTTTTCTTTGGGACAATAAAATAAACCGCCTTTAGTTCCTTTTGGATATCCAATAAAAATGCATACTTCTATCCTCGATTCCAATTTATCCACTTTCCCTATCAACACATGTGCTGGACAACCCCAAACCCGAATGTGTCATAAACTTGGCTTGCGCCTAGTCCATAATTCTATTGGAGTTGAAGGTACTGACTTTGAAGGAACCAAATTTAGAATGTAATTTGCTATTTCTAAAGCATATCCCCAAAAGGAAGAAGGTAAATCGGAATAACTTAACATTGATCTAACCATTTCCATAAGGGTCATATTTCTTCTTTCTGCCACACTATTTTGTTGTGGTATTCCTGGAACAGATAATTGAGATGTAATTCCACAATCTTATAAGTATTTAATGAATTCCGCAGAAAGATATTCACTACCACGATCAGATCGCAATATTTTGATATATTTATCATGTCGTTTCTCCGTTTTCGTCTTAAATTCTTTGAATTTCTCAAAGCATTCAGACTTACGGTGCAACAGATAAATGTATCCATATTTTGAGTAATCATCTGTGAAAGTCAAAAAATACTAAAACCCACCTCTTGCTTGTATATTCATAGGGCCACACAAATCAGAGTGAATTAATTCTAACTTATCGCTGGCTCTATTTCCTTTTGAGGAAAAATGTCTCTTGGTCATTTTACCTTCTAAACAAGATTCGCATGTTGGCAGTGACTCCACTTTCAATGAACTCAAAGGTCCATCAAAGACCAATCTCGAAATCTTATTTAGATTTATATGACCTAGACGTAAGTGCCACATATAAGTTTGGCTCAATTCAGAAATACGTTTTCTTTTTTTGTGGCAGATTAATATTATTTAATTCTTTTGGTTGTTGTAGCACATGAGGAGATATATCAAGAATAAAAAGGTCATGTACTCTAGCAGCAGTGTAGATAAAATATTTATTAAACTTAATAACAACAGTGTTATTAACAAAATAAACATTATCACCAGCATCCAATATTTTCGAAACCGAAATCAAATTCTTTCTAATAGAAGGTACATAGAGAACATCTTTCAAAACTAAAACTCTATCACTACTAAATGAAACACTAATATCTCCTAATGTTAAAGCTGGTGTTGGCTCGCCATTGGCTTGAAAAATGCAAACTTCATTCTCACTTAGCCGTCGCATTTCCTGAAACCCCTACAAAGTAGTGCAGATATGATTAGTGGCTACTGAATCTACACACCAAAACATGGTAGAGACAGCCGCTAAACAAGTTTCAACGACAACTAAATTTGAATTACCTTGCTTATTCAACTTCGCCAGATAGGCAGCGCATTGTTTTTTGTGATGCCCAGGTTGCTTGAAATGATAGCACTTTCCTTTGGGTTTTTTTCACACCAGCCGCACCTCCAGGTGCCAAAACCTTTTGAACCTTCTTCTTTTTCTTACCACCTTTCGACTTAGAAATCGAAGCTTTCTCAACATTGAGTGCCACAACTGGAGCTTGCTGTTTGATAATAGATTCTGCCGCTTGCAGCTCATTCAACAATTTTGCCAGTGACAAATCTATTTTGTTCATATTATAGTTCAAGCGAAATTGTTGAAAACTGTCAGGCAAAATCTGCAGGACCATCTCAACTTGAGATTCCTCATCAATCACATCTCCAAGGACCTCCAGTTCATTCAGAAAACTCATCATCTTCAGAACATGGTCCCTGACCGATGATCCTTCAGTCATCTTAGTGTTCAAAAGGGGTTTCATGGATGTCTGCTTAGCCGCATGATTTTGCTCACCTAACATCTCTTTGAGACTTTCGAGCATGTCATAAGCAGACCTCATAGACTGATGCTGATGTTGCAAAACATTCGTCATAGAGGCAAGAATGTACAATCACGCCATCTCATCAGCCTTGATCATTTGTCATAGGCCTTAACCTGATCATCAGTTGCATTTTCAGGTTTTTTTGGGCACTCCTCAGTGATTACAAATTTGTAACCTTCAGCAGTTAGGATAATATCAGGGTTTCTTTTCCAGTCAACATAATTTGGTCCTTCTAATTTGTTTTGGTTCAAAATTGAGGTAAGTGGGTTGAATGAAGACATGGTTAATCTGAGAGATATTCACATTAAATAGATCATTAGTTATGTATTTAGAATAATTATATTCAAAACAGCACATTACACATATAACCATGCTCATTGAACAATTAGATTTGTTAGGGAAACTTAACTATTCATGCAAAATATATGAGTTATGTAAGATATTTATCCCATAAATTAAAATAAGACCAACTCAGATGGAGAGTAAACTGTTAATTTAAGATAGGTAAATATCACTTTTATAAACTCTAGTTTCATTGTATCAACATGTAATTCAGTTGGAGAGTTAATACAAGTAATCAAATAACTAGAGACAAAACTACAATAATCATCTATAATGAACTTATCCAATGTGGAAGAAGACCTATGTCAACATATAAATTCATTATATTACTGTAAAACATGATTGGAAACCATGGGAATTGAACTGTACCATCACTCATTTCTTTTTAAAAAAAATTCTTTTATTAAAATAAATTTCCAGAAAATAGAAAAATGGCCAAAATCCCATCTAAACGACCCTGAATGCCCACAACAACGACGTACGTCATGAGAAAAGCTGATAAGTATTGCTCACTGGGTCATTTCCGATGAACCTACCAAATTTGAGGTCAATCAGTGTTCGACAGAATTTCAGAATTCCAAATTCATGACCTATTTGTAGTATTCTGTTTTTCAAAACAGCTACATTTTTTACTAAAACAACACTGTTAATCCATAAACTTAATTATGAAAAACAGTCACGCTTGAACTCTTTTGAAAACAGTCATTCAACAAAAACGTAATTGAACAGATTGTCATTAAATATAATACCACTATTTATGCATATGTATATTAATCCATAATAACATAATTAAAATACTAATAAAAACAATCACGTTTTTTACATAGAATAATCATACCAAACATGTATCATTAAATAACACGTTTTAATATTACTCTATTCATGTTGCATTATATTATCTAGTTAGATGTAAGACGGCGTCTGATACCAATTGTTAGAACATGCGCAACGGAAGCAAGCATATAATCGAGGCATCAAATACATGTAAACTAGACAATGATATAATTGCTAGATTAGAAGCACTGACCTCTTGAAATCGTTGCAAAGATTCTCCACACAGCAAGAATCCAGGGCTGCAATCTTCTGCTATGATCCTGGTAATACCTTGGACGAATATGCTTTGAGTGGGCAAGAACAACACAACTCAAAAAGGTGAGTTATTGGGTGAAAATTGTCTTCCTTAAGTAGACACGTTTTCAGCCAAAATAAGGCTCTCAAAAACTTGTAGGATTCTACTTGCACAAGTAGAATCCTACTCTAACTTTACCGGATGACTTTTCTCTCAAGTTACTTTTTACCCAAGTCAGTCCAGATTTTTACTAGGCATAGCAGGGACCACATAAATAATAAGA